GGATTGATGAATATATGTATATCAAGAACATCAGGATCTTCTATTGTACATCTCAAACACCTCTTCAACTTGTATCGGTGGAGCAACAAGAAGAAGATAAAGCTCAAACAAAAACTTAGAGAAAGAGTGAGACGCGCGCTTACGAGTATTGCACGTAGAAGAATTATGATCTCTTCATCTCTTTTCCATGAGTCTAATGGTGTATATATTGAGCTACAGTAGGAACTTTTAGGAGATTAAGAATAGGGCTTGTCAAGACCGCTCTTCTACTACTAATATTCTCATATTTTGAAATACTTTCTCAAAATAACTTATTAAAATTCAGGTTTATTTGTCAAAACGGCACAGATAATATCATTTATACATATAAAAAGGATTCAAAAACAAAAACAATTTTACAAACCTTTACACATATATTAGAATTCTCAAAATAACACAAACTACGAAAAGGACTTAAACTCTTTGCCAGCCCAACAGGTCGTCATCCATATACACGCCTTGAAAACTTTCTGGATCCAACAGCGCAGTCATGCCCTAACACTGATCATCAGATATCAACATGCTCACCTATAATGCATAAACTAATGAACTAGAGCTCAATAAGTAAAAGTCATGCATGTCAAGAAATAACATCAACTGATATGCATTCCAACATGAAATGCAAATGATTGTATATAGACTTATGCTTTGACAATTTTATTCTCGAAAACTTTTTTTTCTTGGGCCCTTGACCTAACTACTGTGCACCGAAAAGAACTCAATATAACATCAATAATCATAACATTCCAGCCCGAACCGTCCCGCATGCCCGAAGCGATGTCTCACGTGTCTCTGAAATGGCTCAGCCCGATCCGTCTCACACACCCGGAGCAATGTCTCACGGGGCACTGAGAAGTACATAATAATAAGTCACGCATGAACCGTCTCACATGCCCGAAGCAATGTCTCACGTGGCTCGTGACCTCGGTGGACTAGCAGCTGCCAAATAATAAAATACTTTTTTCTTTTCTTATTATGTCGTGCATGCGAGATAATATTTAACTTTGACATAATTTGCATGCACATGCTCATGAAATATATGCTGTTGATATCCGAGTTAACCTGGGGTGAACCGCGAAGACATCGCTTACCAAGGCCCGGGTCAGGACCCGTTCCGAAGCAGAAGTGTCGAGCTGAACTGAGAAATTAAGTGCCCAGGATCTCCATGGGAACATTTTCCGAGGTCGGCACCCCAGCTCGGTGAATGCACGAGCCGACCTGGTCAGGTGCCGGGCTGAAAGAGGGATCTTGGGCGTCCTATCAGCAACATTAAAG